AAAAGCAATTTAGGTACCTGGTAACTTCTTTTCCAGGAATCTTCCAGGGCAGCAGGGATTCAGATGCTGCCCTGGAAGAGGACTTGGGAAAAAGGGAATTACCTGTAGTTCTACTTCAACCAAGAACACGCAAATGTGGACTTACACTGAAGAGTCAAACTGCCTATATTACTGGCCCTTCCAAAATATTTATTCTGCAAAAACCACTAGAAGCGATCACCACATAAAAAAATAATATTAAAAAATGGTAATAGTAATAACACTAATAAAAATAATAATAAGATAGAGAGCTCCAGTAATTGATGTGTTTTATATCTGCCTGAAAAACTCACATGCACTGAACAAGCGGTCGCAGCACTGGGGGTCCCAGGTTCAAATTCCAGGACACCATGAGCAAAGAGTTTGCATGTTCTCTGTGCGTGCATGGGTTTCCTCTGGGTACTCCAAAGGCATGCTGGAAGGTTAATTGGCTCCTATCTAAATTGGCCTGTGTATGTATGCGAGAAATGGACCTTAGATTGCAAGCTCCTCGAGGGCAGGGACTTATGTGAAGACAGCGCTACACAAGTTGTCTACGCTTTATACATACCTGTAATAGATAAAAGGGGTAATGCAACGCACCTTTTGAAATCCATAAGAAAAATATCCCCCCCCCCCCACCGATCTGAGAGCATAATCTTCAGGAGCAGAGATCTAAGTGTGAACCTCTGCGTGTTCCCAGTCCCCAGACCTCACACTCAAACATTAGGCACTTACTAGGTAAAAGGACACAGCTAAACTTGGTTTCCAAAATACTGCGGTCATGAAAGAGTTCATCAGCCTGTTATTTGGGCTTTAGGTCCCAGTCACACCATAGCCTGGCAGTAAATGCACAGAACCAGGCACTAGGGATGCTGTCATGCATTCTGAGTGGCACCCCAACACCTCCTGGTGAGCACACCTTGCAGCACAGTACTGCAACATGCATGTATGAAATAATGCATGCACTACTTTTTTCAACATACATGCTTGGAGCACCGCACAGCCACTGGGAGGTGCAATTAAAAAAAAAAAAACACACACCAGGACACGCTACCAGGTGCTAGGCGTGCTGTCTGATAGCATGCGCTAAACAGGGATACCACGCTATGGTGCAATATAAGACCCGCTCACCCCAACTGATCCACTTCATTGTGCATATGGCATGAGCTGCAACACTAGTTGTTTTTTTTAAACTTTATTGAAAGTTAACAAAAAGACACTTCACTCAACTCTATGCGGAACACATTGCAATGCACCATCATGCATGGTTGCACCTTGCATTGAGAGCCAGACGCACTGCAACCAACCCCCCTGATGGTGTGTAAGGGACCCAGACAGAAACATGACTGAGCCCCACTCGGATAGCACACCTATTATCTACAGGAGCTCACACAAACCACCTCCTCTCCACACACACATTCTACAACTTCTATACACAGCAACTGCGAGCCCACAGCCGGCGCTGGAAAACCACAAGTCCCAGCAGAGGCTGCCCCAGCCTGCTCACCACCCACCCAGCAGCCACCACACGGGTCGGAGCCTCACCGAAGATCTCCCGCTTCAGGCCGTCCCCGCACACGCCCTGACTCAGCTCCTTCTGCCCGATGTGGGTCTTCAGCTGCGGCGGGGCCAGGCAATCGAAAGGATAGGAGCGCTTTGGCATAATGACGCGACCACCGACAGGCCTGACAGGAAAAGGAAGCGCGCCAAATCCGCACAGCTCTCAAAGCCTGCGCCAGGACCAGCCTATCACAGCAGCTCACAGGATAACTCCGCCCCGCTCAGCCAATCACAATACGCGACTACTTCAACCCCTAGCAGAAGGTTGGTTGGCGCACCGTGGGCGGGGCCAGGTGTAACACATGTGCGCTTGCTGTTTGTGTTTACATGGGGGGTGATCGCACAGTGTCATCGTACACGTGTGTGTTCACTGTTCAGGGCTGTGTGATTACATACATATATGTACGGGGCTGTGTCAGCTCATCCTCGCGTCACTGAGCTAACAGCAGTGTGGCTGCAAATTATTTTAGACTTGCTCAACCCACAACACATGTATCAATGCATATGTGTTAAAGTGATATTAAAGTCAAAATGTTTTGAAGCTATTTCAAATGCTGATGAAATCACTTGCAATGGATGCTGCTGCTTGATATGTAAAAGTTCTATACTCAGCTGATCCCCTGAACACTGGCCCTGCTATTCTTTCTCTTGCAGGGTCCTATGGAGTCACCCTTGTGTGTGCTAGTAAGCTGTGTGTGTCTCCACAAGCACAAAGATACACTAAGGCAAGACACTTGCTCCCCTCTCCTCCCTTCTTCCTTCTCCAAGCTAGTAGATGGGTGGCTGCTGGAGACTGCTCTCTCCCTGTGATCTTGTACTGGGTACTAAGTTCAGGGAAGCCGAGCTAAGAGTTGGAGCATGTAAGCACTTGGGCGAAATGTAAAGAAACACTTTACTGGGAAATGTGTATTTGTTTGATCTGGGCTCATTATTGAATACCATTATAACATATACTGATGTGTGATTTGTTTGAACATTGCATTTTGTGTGTACTGTCTTGTCCTGTGTTCTCTTTTTTAGTGACATAATTTCATTTTAAATGCTTGATTGCATGCTGCAGAGAGTAGATCCCCTGCTGAGGAAAGAAGATCTCTCATCCTGTGCCGAGGAGAGACGATCCCTCATCCTGTGCCGCGGAGAGAAGATCCCTCGTCCTGTGCCACGGAGAGAAGATGCCTCGTCCTGTGCCACGGAGAGAAGATGCCTCGTCCTGTGCCAAGGAGAGAAGATGCCTCGTCCTGTGCCACGGAGAGAAGATGCCTCGTCCTGTGCCAAGGAGAGAAGATGCCTCGTCCTGTGCCAAGGAGAGAAGATGCCTCGTCCTGTGCCAAGGAGAGAAGATGCCTCGTCCTGTGCCAAGGAGAGAAGATGCCTCGTCCTGTGCCAAGGAGAGAAGATGCCTCGTCCTGTGCCAAGGAGAGAAGATGCCTCGTCCTGTGCCACGGAGAGAAGATGCCTCGTCCTGTGCCAAGGAGAGAAGATGCCTCGTCCTGTGCCAAGGAGAGAAGATGCCTCGTCCTGTGCCACGGAGAGAAGATGCCTCGTCCTGTGCCAAGGAGAGAAGATGCCTCGTCCTGTGCCACGGAGAGAAGATGCCTTGTCCTGTGCCACGGAGAGAAGATCCCTCGTCCTGTGACACGGAGAGAAGTTGGCTTGTCCAGTGCCACGGAGATAACATTCATCGCCCTGGGCCGCGGAGAGAAGATGCCTCGTCCTGTGCCACGGAGAGAAGATGCCTCGTCCTGTGCCAAGGAGAGAAGATGCCTCGTCCTGTGCCACGGAGAGAAGATGCCTCGTCCTGTGCCAAGGAGAGAAGATGCCTCGTCCTGTGCCAAGGAGAGAAGATGCCTCGTCCTGTGCCAAGGAGAGAAGATGCCTCGTCCTGTGCCAAGGAGAGAAGATGCCTCGTCCTGTGCCAAGGAGAGAAGATGCCTCGTCCTGTGCCACATTGCACTTTGTGTTTTAATTACTTGTGATGTGGTGTGTCTGTTCCTACATACTTTTTGCTGAAAGGTCTCCCGCTGCCTTATCTCAGGAAGTTGGAGAATATGGGTGACCGTGTATGACTCTTATAAGTGGTAGACGAGACACTTCACAGCGGTGAATTTCATAACCGTATTTAGCTGTTTGACTGGAGTTTAGATTTGAAGGCCCCTGTACAGGTTTGCGGCGTGCCACACGCATGTCATGTCACGTGTTATGCTACGCTTCAACATGTGTTACGTAAATGCAGCCCATTTATTTTAAATGTGCTGTGAACGCACCTAAGACGGGAACTGACCCCTTTTTTTGGGCAATGCAGCGCAATATAACACACAGTGCCATGTGTTGCTGTGCGCCGCAACCCAAGTCTGTTGCTTTAGTGTGTTGAGGTGCCATTCAAGCGCATGCATGCTGCGGTACCACAAAGCAAAGGTGTGAAGGAACCCTAAAGGGTAAAAATCCCATATGTCACCAGCCTTCACCTTCCTCATCACGTTTAGAAATTGGATTGCAGACCAGATGCGGAGGAAAGTAGTCACAGCTTGTCTTGCCCCAGGCAGAATTTACTGTCAGGCTTCGGAGGGGAAAGATGTGAGAGACGTTGACATTGGAAAGGAAACAGAAGCTTTAGCGAGCCGGGGTCTGGACTGGCAATGAGCAGCCACATATAGAAATCAAGTGTAGTCATTTTGCAAAACCTTTAACACCTCAGGTGCAGGAGGACAGAATAGGGAAGATCAGCAAGGTTATAGAGAGGGCGGGATAGGAGTTTTTGTTGAGTTCTGTTTTAGCTGCCCATTTAAAGATAAGATTTGGGGGAGACTTCCCTTGGGGTTTCAATTGAACAGAAAAAAGGAAAGGGACTAACTGGCGCAGACTGTGTGGAAGAAGATAGACCAGGGAATAACAGTTATTCCCTGGTCTATCCACACAGTCTGCGCCAGGTAGTTGAACTCCTTCCCTTTCATTTCCTCTGTTCAGTATCACACAGTTAGACACCCCGGTCTAATAGCATAAGGAGCCGCACAACGGCCACAACATCCCCCTACCTAGGAGTGCGCTAACCAATCAGTCTTCATTTTCTAACTTTCTACTCCCTTGGGGGTTTTATGCTCCTGGGCAAAATACTTTTACTTATCTGATCCCCACTCCATTCAGGCTACAAGACCTCCCGCACCCGCAACCTCTTCCCTCCTACGCTTTGGCAGGGATCCCAACATGAAATGATTAATTTCAGGGAGGTGCCCTCTGTCACCTCCTCTGGGAAGGGGGGGGGTGCAACAACAGGGAAGAGAGACCCCCCCAGAAATGATGGCAAATCACAAATAAGCTTATGCTTCCTTTGCTATCTGCTGGTTTTTTTTGTGTTCTGACAGCTGCAGCCTTTAGGGGGGAAAAAACCAGCATAGAAGCTAATAGCTAGCTTGCTATTGGCTATTTCAATGTGCAATAGCAAATAGCAGATTAGCTATTGCACCTGCCCACTGCTGCTGTCAGTCAGCAGAGGTGGACCTGATGGAGAACTTCAGGTCCACCTATGCCTTTTTTTTTCTGACTGCAGGCGGCCCCAATGTCAGAAAAAAACAAAACAGATAGCACGCAAAGGTTTACTCTGCTAGATTGAGCAGAGTAAACCTTTCGGGGAGAAAATGTTTCTCTCCCGAGTGTCCGGGAGCCGCTATCTAATAGCGGGAGACTCCTGGAGCATCCGGGAGAGTTGAGATGTCTGCTATGGCAGTTGGAGGACCGCTCACATCATCAATTACAATGCAGGGCCCATAGCCTTGTATTATACATGAGGACATTGAGGGACAGTCCACGAGGAAGCAGGGATCAGGTAAATATAGTTGCTTTCCCCAATACCGTAGACCTAAATGAGCAGTTAACACTTGCAGTGCGGGAGCAGTCCCTCTGGAAGGGGAGTTTTCCTCTTTTTTTCCCCAGAGATAAGCTTTAAAACCGTGGTGCCAAACCTGGAGCCTGGGGGCCACATGCAGTCCTTTGCCCATTATTGTGGTCCCTTCAGATAGGGAAGGAAAATATTTTTAGACTGCCTTCTAGTAGGTAAGTGGCTTAGTCTATTTCTCAGAGTATTCTACTTTTTTGTGCTGTCTAGCCACTTGTTCTCTCTGATTTGTAATAATGGATCTTGCTTAGAGAAACGTTGACTGTAGTTTTTAAGGGGTTTTTAAAGAACACAGATGTAAAAGCATTGACTTATAAAGCTGCTTTGATGAAAGGGGTGTCTAGCAGTCTCATGTAATGTGTCTACAGTCTGAGTGTCTTGTGAAGCATATCTCTAGTCTCCAACAACGTATGTGGCATGCTCACAGTCTATAACCTTGTGTTTCTCTACTTTATAATGTATAACCCTGGAGGAACCCCGAAAAAAATGTCTCAGGTCTCAGGGGACCCTTACTTAAACCAATTAATTGGGAGTCAATGGGGAAAATGCCCCTTGCATTGGTGGTCACTAGGAAGAATTAAACCCTTACAGTGATGGTCAAAATGCCACCCTTACAGACAGCTATAAAGATCATTGGTGGCATGCTGCTGGTTTTGCCAGGTGTCATTGGCCCTGGAAATATGCAGGCACCACAAGCTAGGAGGTCAATCAGACTCAGCTCAAGGAACCCCTAATAACCTCTGGAGGAGCCCTGCATAAATATAGATGACCACCACTGATTTAAAATGTTGTAACTATGTTGTGATTAAAGAGATTTCCCTTTGCTTTCTTTCAGGACAGGAACTGAGGGGAAATCTCTCCCGCACGGACAAAGAAAAAGCACATATGGAGGAAGGGTTGGAACTTCTGATGTTTCTGTGTGTGCCTTCCAATCCTAGTGAAAACGACTTCCCTCAACTCTTCTACAGGCTTCAGAGAGACAGGAAGTGGGGAAAAATCTCCCCAGTAGGGTCACAGATAGAAATAAAACCCCAACAACAACAAAAAAGCATGGGAGTGGCGCAAGGTGAACTTCTGCAGCAAGGGAAACACTGGACTCTATTGACTAATAACTATGCTTATGTATTCCTATACAAGGACAATTATTGAAGGAAATTGAGTTTTAGCAAGAGAGAGAATTTCCGCTCTGCTTTCTGAAGTCGGGGTACACCCTCATTTGATACATTTAGGTTGGTTTTCTTCGAGTCCAATTTATTTCTCATATTTTGTTC